CTTTGCTTTTGTTACTTTATTTTGCTCTATTTCGTGTCAGCAATTCAAACACTTAGCACACGTTTTGTGCTCCTTATTAGTGGGAGCAGGGTTTTATAAGGGATTATATTATAATGCATATTTATGAGACAAGCATGGATCAAGAATCCTGATATTGAAAAGATGCAATTACCTTTAAAAAGTTTGGCTTTGTTTTCATTCTAATGAAGCCAATGTTTTAAGGCAAGCTAATTGGCTTGCCACTCATTTAACTCCATTGCCTGCTCATTACAACCCCTGTGCTTCCTCATAAGCAAATTTAAAAGCAGTCTCTTACTCCAGCTTTAAGTATCGGGCCTCTGAGGAATTCATGGGGTATTTTTGTGCCACACAATAAAATAACGCTTCCTAAACACCAGTGGCATCCTCGTTAGATGGAACATCCTTCTGGTTTGATGGGGAAAAGCCCGAATGGGAGATGAAAAGCGGAGAAAGCCTTTTGGAGAAGCTGCTGCCACTGAAGATAACGTGCAAGAAGCTCCAGTCTGAACAGGCTCTAATGAATAGTGTGAATTCAGCCAGAAACGGCACTGTTCCTGAGATAAATGTCACTGTATGGGGTGAGTGGGATACACAGAGCTGGGCTTCGAGTGGCCCCATCCCACAGGCAAGGGCAGCTCTGTCAGTCCAAGCCAAGTCACTGCTTTGGCTTCTTTATCAGTGCAATCTGATTATTGAAGAGCCGGTTGGTCTTTCTCCCATTGAGGAATTATGTTCTGCTGAATTAGATTTATTAAACAACGCAGCCCTGGTGGCAGAAACAAATCCATGGTTCAGTTCAAGAGCTGCTCGCTATTGCAGTTAACTTGCACTATCAGGAGAGAGGGTTGTGGTGGAAAACCAGACACTTGGATGGAGGCTTGGCCTGGAGACCTCTGCGGCGGGACTGATGGGTGACACCGAGACCCTTGGGTACCACAGTCGTTGGATGTATCTGGAGGACCACAGTGTGCTCCTTGGAGGTGTTGCTGATGTTAGAGCTGGCTCAGCTCACTGATCCTCTCTGGTCCAACTTCATGGATGGGTTGCATGACCGTCCTGTTGTTCTTTCTGGAAGCAGAGGAGCACAGATCATTGCTGTGGGCAGGGATACAGGCTGGGATGCAGGTAGGAACAGACCCAGGCACAGCCTGCTGCCTTCGGTATGAGCCAAGATGGTTTCATTGGGCTAAATTAAAGATCATCCGCTTTAACTGAAGTCCAACTCCGCTTTAGCCCACCCAAAAGGCTAGCTGTCAGCAATACAGGACTCATCCCAAAGAACCTTGGACACTAACAGATGCTGAATAATGCCCAGCTCTCCCCATCACTTCTTTCACACATGTAGTTACACCTTTCAGGCTGGCATCATCAGCAGAGTATAAATGGAGCCCAATGGAGAGCACATGTATCTGACCAAGGTCTGAAGGTGTTTCTAGGAGGGGAACATCCCCCAGGGTAAGCCAGGAGCCCCATCCCTGTGCCCCATGCATGGGAAGGGATGCTGGGCTGGCTGTGTTTAGCGGAACACCCCAAACCTAGTGATTACTACAGCCCCTGTGCAAGATACATGTGTCTGCTTGCTTGTGCTTGGCTCAGCATCACACTGGATCAAATGAACACGCTTCAGTGCGCTTAAAGAGAGGTAGAAAAGGCAGCAGGGGCTTGCTGCTGGTGATGATCTTAAGGTCCTTTCCGACCCTAACTATTCTATGAGTCTATGCCTGAGCTGCCCCAGCCCAAGGAAGCATGAGGGTTTCCCAACCTTTTCCCTGAGCAGGGCTTTAAACCCAGGTATGGGCACCCCACTCCAAACACGCACCTCCAGACCCAATCTCTCCACCCCACATGTGGACATCGGCGTTCCTGGTCCAACCGCTCCTAAAACCCCCCTCAACGGCAACCCTTAGGTGACACCTTAATTCCATTTTCCAGGAGGTTACAAGGAAATGGTTTCAATCACGGAGTCAATTCAGATTGCAATAAAACATCACATCAATATTTACATCAGCCCTGGCTTCATTTTAAAAGGAGGGATTTTTTCCCCCTTGCACACGCTGCCAAAGTAGTTAGCTGGCAAAGCAGCGCAAAAACAAGGCCTGGGAGTCACTTTTTCCCTTTGCACATCCATCATGGAGCCATCCGAAGGTTTATTTTTCCCCCAGATTCCATCATTTCCCATCCTAAAAGATTCCGTGTGTATCCCAATCTCCCAGGTAAGGCAGCGACATCAGCTCTTTATACAAATGAGAGGAAGGAGGGGAGGGAAGAGGGGAGGGAAAACGGCTTCAAAGCTGCAGCACATTAAAAGGAATTTATTAGATGTGCTGTGTGGGCAGGGTGCCAGCCAAGTTTAATATGGATCTATATACAAAGAAACTGTCTCGTTACACAGAATGAATATTTAATCATGCATGGATCAAGCAATTTCACTGAAGTAATTAAAAGCAGGCTTTGTTTATTGCTAAAAACGAGAGCTCCCCTATTGACCCGGTGCGGGGCTTCTTGTGCCATATTGAACATGTTACCTGCTGATATTAAGTTATTCAATGGGGGATTAAGGCTAATTTTTCCCCCCTTTGCAGATAAGAGCTCTTAAGCTATCTTGTCTGTTTGTGCACAGAGCAAGGGGGGGAAAGAGCCCCACAGTGGAAAAAACAAGCCTGCCTGAATCCCAAGGGTTAGGAAAACACTCATACCCATAGCAGGCAGGCAGAAATGGGTAAATTCATTCAATAATCAATGGATTAGTTTGGTCCCGGTGGAGCAGCCTTGGGGCAAAATCCCAAGGGAGGAGCTTGGTGCTGCTGGGAGGGTACCCAGGGTCATGGTGTGGGATTAAATCCAAAGCAGAGCCAGACAGAAGGATGCTCAACTGGGACATCCATCACAGAGAGACAGTGGGAAAAGCACTTAAACTGGAATGAGGGGGCTGTATCCCAGCCTTTCCCTGTGCCATAGGGAACTGGGGCTGTTGCTGCTGTCTCTTATGGTTCGTTGGATGTTAAACACCAATATGCCAATGGCTCTGAGTATCAAGCACTCACTGTGGATTAGCTTTGAAGCAAACTGACAACCAGGGATTCACTGTATAGAGCCTTAAACACATCTGTATTGCCAGGAATGGATGCTGAGCACCTGTGGACATGTGGCAGGACCAGGGGAGCTCCTTACACAAGCAAAGGCCACTTTGGATTGTACCATTTAAACCAGTGCTTGGGCATCACCCATAGCAGATCCCTCAGGTGATGGGGAGCCAAAGGAAACAGCTGCCAGGTAACCCCGGTGCAAGCAAATACGACTTACCTGGAAGAAACCCTTCAGAAACGGCCAGACCCAGCCTTGGTGCTGCTGTGATCCCTGGGGCAGGAGGCCCCAGGAGCGACTGAGCCACTCAGATGTGTCACAGCTCAAGATCCTGGTGTAGAAACCCTCCTGCAGCACCTCCGCCTTGCAGGGTGCGGGTACCAGTGGAAGAGGCCGTGAGCATCAATCCTGAGCCTGCTGGGCGCTGCGGCTTTGGGGTGCAGAATGGGGACCCCACAAGGCTCCTGCAGGGAGATACAACATCAACATTTGTGTGTTAAGCACCCCGAGCCCTTAGGCAAAACCAATAGCTATGGACAAAATGCCTGTTAGAGAGAAGCAGCTTCAACAAGCTTAAATAAAACTATCCCTGGGAGCAAGAACTCAGAATCCCAGACTGGTTTGGGTTGGAAGCCCCTCTCCAGGCTTGTTGCATCCCCTTTAGGCTCTAAGCTCTCCCCAGGGCCTTCTCTTTCAGAGCACAAGAAAAATGAGGTGCAAAGGGCTGGAAAAACAAGAGCAGAGGTTGGGGAAACCCAAGCAGCAAGGAAAACACCCGAATGGAGACGCCTTAAAAGCCAAAGAGCATCAGAGCCATGGTACCAGACACGAGGCGCTTCCAGGATCCTGCATCCCGATGCACCTCTCCCTGCTCATCGCAGCCATCTCCCTACTGAGAGCCTCTTGTGAGCTATTAGCAGATGAGGATATCCCTGCTTTACCCTGACTTTGCGTAACTATAAATGACAGAGCAAATTGCCACTCGGTGAGAACACGGGCCTGATGCATTTAAGCTGACAGCATCTCTTTACATGATGATTATTTATAGCACATTAGCACCAGGGCGGCTTCGCCAGGCGCAACCCGGGGCCGGCGGCTCCCGACCCGCAGAGGGGCTCCTTAGAACAATAAAGCACCACTGCTGCTTCCCGGAGCCCCAGCGAGGTCATGGAACAAAGTAAAAGCCAGGGGTGATGACATTTATAAGCACTGAGATCTTAAAGACAGAAAAAACACTACTGTGGATGAAGGCTTTGAATCAAACTTTAATGAAAAGATGGAATTCCGGCCAAGAGCTGCTCGGCTGGAATATGAAGAACATTCACGCCCTTTGCTAGCTCCACTTTTGCTATGGGATGCTTAAAGACACGTGCACATACATATGGAGGCGTGTATGGGCATGTATATATGCACACACATGAAGGGGGACTGTGCGCATATATAGGTGTACATAGAGATGGATGGACAGATGAAAGGGGAGGTTTCCTCTGTATTCAACCAGTATTGATCTCAACATTAACCATTAACACATCCAGCTGACTCAGTGCTTTCCCAATAAACCCTTCTGGCCTGTCACACTCACTGCTTAGCAGCGCTGTCAAACACAGCAGTGATGCTGAGCCTCACTGGGGGCTGCCCTGTGGCACCAGTCTGGTCCTCTCCGCAGCTGGTGATGGCTCCTTCTCGCTGAGGCAGAGGGATGATCCTGCACCAGGACCCTTCCAGGGCTGACCTGCAGGTAGTTATCTTGTCTATCCCTCGTGTTAACATCCCCTGACCTGCGTGTGTGGAAGGGAACCGGAATCACAGTGTGTAATTAAGATGTGAGCTCTGATGTGCGGGCAGGAAGGTGAGGGGAAACATGGCCCCTCAAGGTCAGGCACCAAACCCGGCAGCAGCGTTATCTCCAGCTGATTGCATCATCTGCATACGGAATGAAAGACAATTAATGTTTGCCATGCACAGACTGGTGCTGCGATCCCCTCGCCCCCCCTCCCTCATTCATCTCCCAGTAACATCCCGAAAGTCGCGTGGGGCAATGAAACACCAAGAACCCTCTCTGGTGATGTGAATGGGAGATAAACCTCTTCTCTTGTCAGCGAGCCTAAAGGCAGGAGCTGGAGCTCCCCCCGAGCCAGCGATCTCACCTGCAGCCATTTGCTTCATTAGGAGAAAACCCTATTCTCCACTAAATTGGGTGGCTAATGTCTATCATTACAACCTGCCAAGGAAGCGGGTTTGCCCTTCTCCTCTGTGCCAGGCAGACAGCTGAACCTTCTATTTACCTACAAAGTATCCCTCAGCCCTATGTTAAAGAGGATGAGAGACAAATTACACCTTCACGCTAATGGTTGATGATGCTCCTACTGCGCGCCTGGAGGCCTCTTCTGTCTTACTTCTCCAAGCCATAAACCAATGATTTGTCCCAGGTATATTTTTCATCAAGCCCATAAAAACTTCCAGTTGATGGTAATGGAGGAAGAGTTTATCTCCAATGGGTCCCAGACAGGCTTATGGCAAGAATATGCCAAGTACCCATTAAACAATAAGACATAACAGGGCATGTGTTCGAGCGCAATAAGGATGCGCGGAGGTGAGTTAGAGTGATTACACCCTGATTGGAAAAGCTCTTTTAAAGCAGCTTCGTGCTGGAGATGGGTTTGGGGAGGGGTGGTCCCGCATGGGTACATGCACGGGTTCCCCAACCCCAGCTCTGCAAACACCAAAGCTCTTATTCACAGTGATGTCTCCTGCAAAGGAGCACCCAACCCAGCTCTGTTGGGAGAAGGGGAACAGCACCCAAGTCCTCAAACAGCCATAAACTTATGGGCACACACTTGAACACACACAAAACCCCAGTGCAAGCACTGAGCTCATGGGAAAAGCAGGGCTGGGACCCTGTTCCAGCCCCAAAACCTCAATATTCCACCGTGACCAAACGCCCATGTGGGTTTTCACACAGAGCATCCCCAGGCACCCGCTGCTGCACCTTCTCTTAAAGCAAAGAACCATACTAAAACCAGACCCCAAAACTGCAGAGACCTTGCAGGGATGGAGCTACCCAGGGCCTGCAGCTTCACCCCCCCCCCAGAACTCACAGCCCTCTTTGGTGCTTGCTGCATCGTGCTCACATCTGCAGCCACAGGCTGGGGTTTGCTCGGGTTCCTTTAAAGCTTGGCCCAGCTCTGAAGCTGCAGCCCAGGTCCTGCTTCTCACACAGCCCTGTTCCACTACATCTTTTCCCTTTACTGCTTATAACCTTTATTAGCCCAGCAATAAGAGCAGTGCACACCTCAACACAGACCTCATAGGGTTAGGGTCATAGGAGACCACGCTATCTCAAGGCTTACTTTTGAGTGCAGTTTATAGCTGAGAAACAGAGCCCAGCCTCTGCCCAGCTCCTCTGCTCACTTCTCACTAAATCCCTGCAACCCCGTTTGCCATCCAACACCTTCTTTATGCCGCTTCCCTGCATTTACACTGCCCAAACTGGTGGGATTCCAGTGTGCAAACTGGGCGCTAACCAGCACTTTACCCACCTCTGGTTTTGACCAAACCTCACCCCGGTGCACCCCATTTGGTCCTGGTTTTGGGCAGCACACAAAGGCAGGGCTGTTTGTATGTAAAAGATGGTTTACATGGTGGATATTACAGGGCACATTTGCACCCAGCCGTGCTCCAAGCTGGTTTGAAAGCCTCACAGGGATGGGGTGCAGGCAGGTCCTGCTGCAATGCAGAAGGTGAGCAAGCTCACACACCTCTCCCTGCAGCCCTCCCCAAGCCTTTCCCATGGTGAGAAAGCCACCCCACACAGCCCTGCTCCCCTAAAGCCTGGTTGAAGCTGCACTGAAGCACTTAAAACCAGCCCAGTGCACTTCAGAGGCTTGACAGCGACAGGAATGAAGGACTTCCCATGGCAGCCTGGAGAGCGCATCCCTCTCATCCCATCTGAAGTGGCTCGGAGAAGCTGCAACTGAAAGTCTCTCATGAGAAGCAAGCACCGGATCTCTGCACATTAAAGACAAACCAGCCTCAAAAAGGCTCCCCTGATCCACGTATCCCAGGGCTCATGCTCCAGCACACCCCAAAGAGGCACCCGACCACCCCGCACGGACCTGCTCCCCATTGGCACAGACTGCCCAGCTCCAGGAACATCACCAAAATAGGATGAAGTGAAAGGAAACTATGCAAGATGAGGGGAATGAGTGTGGAGATAAAGCAAAGGGAGCCCGGGAGGGTTCATGCTTGGGGATAAGTGGTATAATGGGGAAGGAAATTGAAACGGAATTCCTTGGAATACAACGTGCTGCTAATGGGTTCCCTCTGCACCGCCGGAGCAGAGCCTCTCCCCATCTGGATCCAATGGCAGTGTTATCCCAGGCCGGGTGTGTGTGTCAGAGACAGCCAGCCGCTCCGGAGAGCTTTGTCTGAGCGTGAGAAGTGAGCTGCACCGGCACAAATCCCATTGGGAATTATGGATGGATCCCTCCGGGTTTAGCTGGATGAGGTGGATGTGCAGGTCAGCGGCAGGACACCGGCAGCTTCCAGTCACTTCCATGAACCCATTGCATGGAGGTGATGCCTGCAGCAGCAGAGGTGCTGCAGCATCCTGGGCACTGGAATCACCCCAAAACTGCAGCGGGGTGCGATGCATCCTCCCTGCAGCGCCCAGGCAGGCAGCGATGGGCACAGCACAGCTCTGACACTGCCGATCCGAAGCCGTGCCTTCTGCCAGAGGTAGAGCCTTGGCATCTGCACAAGAGCAGCGTTTCTAGCAGTGCAATGGCCCTTTTCCAGCATGCCATTATTCCTACTTTATAGCATTGCACAGCGGCCAGCGAATGGATCCGCCGAGTCTCTTTGGCACCAGGGAGGTTAACATTTTCCTCTTGGCACTTGTGCATTGATAGCTGTTAAGTGCAGGCTGCTCCTAGGCCAGGGCTATGCCTTTCAATAAGCTCTTCCTTTACCATTTCAAAGCCTCCACAATAAGTATTACTTCCTGGCAATTCCCGTTAGCAGGCGGGTACGTGCTCTGCCTGTGAGACAATGCTCTGGGAGCAGGAGAGGGCTCTTTGCTGGAGCCTTGCTGTCGTTGCTGCTTTTGTGGTAGCGGAGGAATGGGGCTGCTATTATATTTTCATCTCTTTGTCATGTGTTGCTATTGGAAAGCTGCTCCCCAGGCTCGCTGGCCACCACATGAGCTGGTTAATGGTAATAAAAGATTAAATTCACTACGGGATCAGCGAGGCTTTCAAGAAACACACAACGTTCTATTAATCCCAGACATGCAGATTATTGCACTTATTACTGGGTTTAAATATGGAATGGAAACGAGAGCAGGAGAAGGGACTGTGCAATATCTGAACTATCCAAGCGTGCCCGTTACCCGGGGAGGAAATAAATCCCCTCGGCCCCTCAAGTCCTTGCCACTGGAAGTGCTGCACAGGCAGAGCCCTTTGTCTGCCATTAGGCATCGATCCAGCCCTTAATGAGGTCAACAGGAGGCTTTCCATGGGCTTCAGCAGCCCTTGGAGCTGCTCCTTCCCTAACAAATCCAACATGAAGAAGGCTGAGACAAGCACAGCTCCATCAACGGGGCCATTAAACCCATGCTGGGAGTAGAGAAGCTGCCACCACCAGCTCACCTCTCTTTAGATGTCCGAGCATCCTTGTCCTCTGGGGCTGGTGGCCATGGCAGCATTGAGCATCACAGAGGGCATCACCATGGAGGGCACCACAGCAGCTCTGCGAGGGGGAATGGAGCTGGGCTGAACCAGAGGGGCTGGTGTGAGCGTTCCTAGTGACAAGCTCAGTCCCACGTTAGGAGCCAAATCCTGATGCTGAAAACCTCCCAGCAGGATGCAGCCCCAGTGAAACACCCCCTGCTGCATCCCCACCGCAGCCTTGCGGGGCTGGTCCTTGTGTTTCATGGCTTGGAGCCCTGGCTGTTGGCCCCGGTTTTCCCTGTATTTCTCCTCATGAGTCTTATTTCACCCTCTGGGCTCACCGATGGCTCAGCAAGTGAAGCATGTGACTTCTGGGGGGACAATATCCCATGAAAGGGTCAGAGAAAGCATTGCCCAAATATCCATATTCACCCATGCTTGTGGAGTCCTGCCTTCCCTTCCGCATGGACCACAGAAGTCAGGCAGCAGCCAAGAGCATCACGATGTCTGGGGTTTTCTCCTCCCTATTTTAGCTACGTTTGGTGCACGGAAGATACCCAGAACATTATCAACACACGAACATCTTCTCCTGCTTCTTGTTTCAAACGCACAGAACGGAGGCAAGAGCATCCCAGGGTGTGAAGGAAGCCCAATGGAGTCCATAGGATGAAAACGCTGAACACGCAGAGGGAGGAGCAGAGGCCTGGGCTGGCCGCACACATCTCGCCCTGATTTAAGCACCGGAGACTTGCGATCGTCTTTTCCTGGCGCTGGATGAGGGCAGCAATCCCCCCCAATGATAAAATGACTGCTGCGGGCTGCAGATGAGCCCGAAGATGGCTTTCTGTGCTCTGCTGCCATGGATTACACCCAGAGCCAGCCAACAGCGCCCCAACTCCTTGTGCCACACTGACATCTGATGGCAAAAGCCTTCGTTACAGCTGCGGGAGCTGGAGAGGCGCTGCCAGGGCAGGTTTGCAGCACAAAGGCCTGGATCCTGTCGGCATCCTTGTCCTAACAAACTGCTCCTTTCCTGCGGTCTGAGAGGCACAAAGATCAATGACAGTGCTCGGAGGTTAAAGCTATAGAAACCGGAGACGGGTTTGTGTTGGAAGGGACCTTAAAGCCCATCCAGCCCCAACCCCTGCCACGGGCAGGGACCCCTTCCACTGGAGCAGCTTGCTCCAAGCCCCTGTGTCCAACCTGGCCTTGAGCACTGCCAGGGATGGGGCAGCCACTTTGTCCTTTACCCTGTGAAAAGCAGAATGAGTGCAAGCAGCATCACCAGTGAGAGCCGAGCACCACCTCCACCAGTTTCCCCATCACCTCTTATAACTGGGTGAGTTTTGCAGGGGAGCAGGAATAACCCCGCTGCGAGTCACAGGGGAGCTCATCCGAGCCCCTTCGGTTGCTGTAAGGTGACCACTCCCGAGTGAACGGGACTAATTCACAGGATTCAGCAAAACTGCTTGAAATAACCATCACAGAGAGCAGCCATCCGTGGATCAAACAAGGCTGCATCACCCTCGGGGGAGCCCTGCCATAACCACTTAACCAGCCCCCACCGCAGCCAGCCCCAAGCCCCACAAGTGTAATGGGGTTTTACCTCCAAGCCCTGTATGGAGCAAGGATCCTCCTGCCTGCAGGCAGCAAACCCGGGGGGCAGAGATGAAGGTGCCTGGGAGTGATGGAGCTGGACAGGTCCCGAGATGATCTTCGCCTTGCTTTAAAGCCCTGGTGTTTCAGGCATCCTTTGTTCTTGCACAGCTCCAGCAGGACTCTGCTAAAACCCTTGGCCAGCTCCAACACCGCCTTTTCCTTTCTGTCTCTTAACAGACGCCTGCTGGGAGTTAATCCTCTCTGCTGCGGCCACGAACAGAGCGTCAGGAGCGCCCTTTAGATAAGGTTGCTGCCATTCATTAGCCAGTATTTGCACCAGAGCAGGAAGATGCAGGGAGCTTCCTCAGCGCTGAGCATCGCGACTGTGGGCTGCGGAGGAGCCACCTCCCTCCCTGGGAGCACCAGGGCATCCCTGGCCGGGTCAGGACCGGGATGCAGCAGGATGAGCATCCCCTTCTCCCTGCTTGCTTCCTGCAGGTCTCCTTGCGCAAGGAGCTGGACCACCAGCACCAAGCACCGCACCCCCGAGGGCAGCTCCCCAAACCCTTCCCATCCAGCAGCAGCTCCCAGGCCCCAACCTGCCTGCAGGTGATGAGCGGGAGCCATCACCCTTATTCCATGTGCTTCAGGCAGGCGCTGATGACTTGAGGTCACAACCCCTCACTAATGAGAGGCTATTGTGTGCCTGACCGATGCCCCGAGGCGATTTGTCCCTCCCCACGCTTGTTATTCCTACATGGAGCAGACACCGAGTGATTTCTCTTACTCGGGGCAAGGTTTCCTCCCTGTAAAGTAAATAAGTGTGCCCGTATTTGCGCACAGCGCTCCTGAGCGCTGCAATATCTATTTATAAGACTTAGGGAGTGTAAAAACCCAAACTGAATCCCTGCAGCAGCTTCAGCCAAGCCAACCACCGAATGCATTAACATCTTCCTCGCAGCCAGACCACACAAACCCCGTCTGGCAGCATCTCCCCAGCCCATACCATGCCAACCGCTCAGACCACCCAAAAAGCCACACTGGCTGCAGAGTGCAAACTGCTCCCTAGAGATGGGGCTGCAGCATCTGAAACCCAGGAGCACCCCGAGGAGCCCCACAGCCTCCATCAGGGACATGATACCAAGGGCGAGATGCAGCAAAGCATCGGATGTAAACCAGCCTATGAGGACCTGGCTGCTGCTTCCACACCAAGGTGTCCCCTCAAATCACAGGGCTTCTTTAGCCTTGGGGCATACCCAGATGCTCGCAGCTCGGATGGGGCCGTGCTCCTTCAGTGTGCTCTGCAGCGCTGGCCTTCTGGAAGGCAAACAAGAGCAGTGTCTCCACTCAAAAGCCCTCTAAAGGCTCGGGGGTGATTGATGTGTTTTAACGATCAACCGCCGCTGGTTGAAGAGGAGATAAATGCAGGACCGAGCCCTGGGGCTACGCAAACAGTGCCAAAGAGCAAGCAAAGAGCCCGACCAGACCGGCTCTGCTCCGCAGAGGAAGCACCCGGCAGCGAGAGGAGGGAGCCCCATAGCAGGGGGCTGGAAGTGGCCGAGTTTAAAGGCCCCTTCCTTGCATGAGCAGGGTGGGAAGGAGATGGGGGCTCCTCAGTGCGTGGAGGGAATCAAAGCCAGCAACCAAGGGATGCGCGGGACTTCAGGTGGGGTTCAATGGGCCATTTAGCAGGTAACTGTCACTTCAGACAACACGGATTAGGCAGACAACGGGAGCCAAGCTAGGGTGACGCCGCTCATAACCCAGTGGATGCTCAAACGCTGGGGCGGCTGGATAAATAGACAGTTTAATTAAACCAACAAGTCATCGTTTATTTTCCCATCACAATAGGTTAAATGACTTTTTATTCCCATTTTCCATCTCAACAGAGCAGACTTTTTGGTAATAAAAGCTCAACTCTAATTAACAGCTGGTGTGGTTGTACTTGGCAGCACTGCGAGTAATTCAGTACAAAGCAAACACATTTACTAGAAATGGCTTTTGATTGCAGAGCCCAAGGTAATGGATGTTTTGGGAGCGGGTGCCAGCGGCAGTGTGGTTATTGTTTCAGGATGGAGGACAAGGGGAGAGCGGGAATGGGGCTGGCCAGGGAGGTGGAAGTGGGAAAACAACTAACTGATAAAGCAGTTGGCACCCATGGGTGATGCTGAAAGGCCTCTTGGGGCAGGCAAAGCTCTGTGTGATGAGGGGGTTCAAGGGGAGCCCCATGGCAGGAGGGTCACAGTAAGAGGTGAAAACACAAGGATGAATGATCCCATGGGCACCCGGTGCTGCCTTATGCCAACCCCATCCCCTGGGACTCGGGTACCACTCACCCAGTGGGCAGAACCATGTCCCCCATTCCCATGGGTGCTCCCCATACAGGCAGAGGAGCATCCACCCTTGCTGCTACTGTTACAGATCAACAGATGCCATTTAGAGCTGCGACATCAAATCAGCCCAGCTCATCATTTCCTATTATAACCTCTTCTTTTCCTTTCCTTTCCATCAGCACTGCTTGATGCAGCAGCTTGCTGCTGGTTAGTGCCAGGGAGGAAGAGGCTGCTGCTGTTGGCTGTGTCAGCAGCTTCACTTGCAGTGGTGTGATTTACACCCCCCCACCCCACAGCCCCAGGGTTTATCTAGTCACACTATGGGGCACATCTACCCCTTTCCTAATGGCTGTCATTATTTATGCAGGAATATTGACAACAGCTTGAAGTCCTGGCCATAAAAACGATTTGAAATCAATCTCCCATGTTTCACTTACTGATTTCCCATCCAAAGGGGCTCTCCAGTGATTTAAATACCACATCCTCATCCCGGCCTCCACATCGATCCCTGCTCACATGGAGTGGTCCTCGCACCTTGTGATCTGTCCCCCGAAGGTGGCAGCTTTCCTATAAGATGGAAACAGATTTCATCAAGTTAAAACAGGGAACAGGTTTATTTGGGGGTGTAAGGAGGGATTTGACATCCAAACTGAGGAGGGATGGATGCTCAGAGGGAGCCACGTCTGCCCCTCAGAATGGGGTTTGGGGCACCAGCCTCTGCTTCCAACAGCAGCATGGATTCTGGCACGGTTTGGGTTGGAAGGGACCTTACAGCTCCTCCAGCTCCAACCCCTGCCATGGGCAGGGACCCCTTCCACTGGAGCAGGGTGCTCAAAGCCCCATATGGGAGCAGGTAATCTTGACATAGAAAAGACAGAGGCAAAAGAGCAACTGGGGGAGAGAGGAACCCAACTCTGATGCCCACCACCAATGGCAGGAGTCAATCTGGATGCTGCATCCGAACCCTTCATGATCTTCTGCACGCCTCTGATAGGTAAGATGTCCTTGAGCAGAGCATCTTCCTCCCCAGCCCCAACCTGCAGCAGTCAAACAACCAGTTCATTTGACTTTGGGCCATGCAGATGTGCTGGCAAGCCTGGCTCTGCAAGGGAGAGCAGCCACCAGGCTCCAGTAGCTTCACAAGAGGCACAGCCCTGCACATGCACCCCTGTAAACCATGCCTCTACACCAGCCAAGGCTGCTTTCTTCTGCCATCCCCACCAGAACATGAGCTCAGAATCATACTGTAATTTGGGACAGCAGCACACAGCTTGTGCAGAGCCCCATGAGCTGCAGGATCAGGCAAAACATCATGGAAACAGGGAAGCAGCTGGATGCAGAGCACATACTGGGCTGTCTGGGATGGAGCTGGCTCTAGGGTGAGCAGATTCCAGGAGCCCTGTTATATATATAATAGCAGTGCTGTAGGGAAAAGGCTGGAATGGCTTTGGGAGATCCAGCCCGGCCACTGAGCCACCCAGGCTGTGTGCTTGCCAGAGGTCAGTGAGCCAAGAATGCAAGGGGCTGTGTGAGACTTGCCATAGTGGCTGTGCTGGGAGCAACGTGCTGCAAAGAGACATGGCTTTGGGAAACACATATTCCCTGCTGCTCTTTGGGAAGTGCTTCCAGTCATCCTCCAGCCCCAGTCCCAGACCTGTCCCATGCATCCTCCTGCATCCCGTGGTACCCGGCAGGGCAGGAAGATGTATGATGCTGGGTGGGATGTACAGCATCGGACCCTGGGATGCAGCTACCTAATGGAGGGGTGTCCAGTCCCTGGAGAAGGGGGTTATGCTCCCATTAGGATAACTCACCTAGCTGTAATATAGCTCTCTCTATGTATATATATATATATATATATATATGTATGACTATTACCTATATAATAAATACCTGCTGGACGTTATAGTGGTGGCTTTGAAGGCGCAGGCTGCAGGTACACGGTGATCACAGGGTGACTTTAAGCGAAGCAAGAAACCAGGAGACAGCAACGTCAGCCCTCAGCTTCCTGGGAAGAGGTGGAGAAAGCTGCTGCCCTGGGGGGGGTGAATGGTTTTCCACTTCATCCTTCAGCCTCTCCCAAGCAACCGGTCCAGTTCCTGCTGCACAAAGGGGGAACGTGATGTTGGGTGGGTGGTGTGGATGCCCCCTCTGCCTGCTCAATGAGCTCTTATGGTTCTTGTCACCTCTCCTTTGCTCTGTCTGGGTTTGAAAACCTGCCAGGAGGGAATAAGGAGATGCATTCAGAGCGGCTTAACCCAACCTCAAAACACAAGGTGATGCTTTCAGAGCCCAGCCACTGATGGGAACGAGCCAAACCCAACCATGAGACACAACCCAGGGAAGGGAAAGGGAAGGGAAGGGAAGAACCCTGCACCTGCATTTGCTTTGTGTGACCTCTAACTCCAACTGTCACCGAGCAAATACAGAGAGGAGGAAAAACCACCGTGTCCTAAAGCAAACAGCAAGGACAAGGCTGATGAGAGCATTTAAGCGGTTATTAGAGTGTGCTTGATTGCAGCCCTTGCCGGAGCCCCACGGAGCATGTGATGTTTGTTTTACCAGCACTTAGCAGCTGTCCTGTTAAGGAAGAGAACAAAGTGTAGGTGTTATAAAGTCAATATTGGTACAAGGAGGCGTGTGACAAAGGGCTACGCGCTGCAGCATCGCTCCCATCGGGTTCATGCAGCTTAGCTGGAGCTGACAGCATCCCCCTGAATTACACTTCCAGATGTGTAGGACAGGAACGATCAAGATCCCGGAGCCAGCGTGGTTGTTCCCACTGATGAGATTCGGGTGCGGGGATGGGGATGGTTGGGGTTTTAAATCGGAAGTAGAAGATGGATTTCTGGATTGAATCGAGAGGGTTTGCAGATGGTTTCACTCCCCCCCCCCAGAGCTGCAGCACTGCTGCA